AGATTTTATCTGCAAAGAAGTTGTTAAATGCGTCACAGCAGGCCGTAATGAAAGACCGTGTGAGACCATATATTCCCTAATTATTCAGAGCAATTTGAGAAATGGTTCCATAAAGTATCTCAGAGTAGGGGGAAAGTAAGAAGAGAACAAGTGTCTTGTTCTTCATAGGTGATTTCCAATGGTATATGTCGTAGTTATATCAATATACTTATATCCACTATAGCAGCACTGCTCATCTTGCTTGTTTTCTCCTTTCCAGAAAACAACCTGACCAATAGGAAATTTGGAGGGAGAGAATAAATAAAGTCAGCCTTCCACATTTGCAGCTTTGATTTCTGTGGATATGATTGTTTGCTCTAGGTCATTCAGTGCAACTCTGCCGGATGTTGACCGGATGTTGCACTGGAAGGCCTAGAGATTACTAGAGAAAACACTTCTCTAGGTATTTGTAGGTCTTCCAACCATGATTCTGTGGTCAACCTCTGGCAGATGTTGACCACAAAGTTGCACTGAAGGACCTAAAGGTGTTTTCTCAGGTAAAAGAGTAGGGTTTTTTTTTTATTTGTGCTTTTCCCACTTTCACAGCTGTCCTGTATCCCAAACCACAGCAAATGTGGAGGGCTTACTGTACATATATTACAAGCAATGACTGAAAAGTAACTTTCCACACAGACCTAGAAGAGCTGTTAAAATGCTTTGGTAGCATCACATTACATGATCCAACTAAAGTGAACTATTCCAGGACACAGGTCAGTACAGTGTTAGTTGCTACTAAGATGGCAGAAGCAGTAATGACATTGACATGATTAAATTGCACACTAACAAATGCAACTATGCCTATTCTTGTAAACTTATGACTTCAACTGAAGAACTTTCTTTGCTGCTGTAGATCAGACTGCAGTGCCGAATAAATCTGCTCAACGAACTTCCCACAACATGCATAAGGAAAAATGTAAAAGAGAGCTAAGCAACCTCCACACACAACAAATTGCCAGTGTGGTATTGTGTGGCATAGTAGCTTGAGCTCTGGACTAGGATATCAGGAGACCAGAGTTTGGATCTCTGCGGGCCATAGGTGACCTTGGGCAAATCACACTCTCTCAGCCTCAGAGGAAGGCAAGGACAAACTCTCTCTAAACAAATTCTGCTAAGAAAACTTTATGATAGATTCATCTTAGGGATGTCATATCAGAAATGATTTGAAGGCACATAACAACAACCATAATGCTGGACATCTACACATCTACATTTATTTTGTTCAACTAGACAAATGAAAGATGAAGCCTATAGAAATTTTCCATCTCAACAAAGCCCTCAAAACTGTTGTTCTAACTTGGCTCATATTTGAAGTGTAATAGTTAATAGGAGAGTGACTATTAATATGAGATTTTGAATAATCACATCAGATTAAGAGCAGAGTCAAGAGAAAATTAATTTTATTTGCTCTCTTTTGATGGCCCCTGTGTATTTATTTTTTAAAGTCAGCACAGACTACCATCTTTAGAATTTACATATCTGCAGGGTTCAGGCTGAAATCTTGCCACTTCACCAAAGGCCAAAGCACTCAAGTCTGCTTTCAGCCAAAAAGATGCCTGAAGGAGGAGAAACAAAAAGATAGAATCTATTAAGAAAGGAAGCCCTTCACTAAGAGCAGATAACGGTAAT